AGACCAGTCAGTGTGTCTAGACAATAGATGATAGTGTAATTGACAGAGTTGCACTGTCTAATACCTCCATGTGGCTATTGAAATTTAAATTCTAGTTAGTGAAAATTAAAAATTAAGTTCCTCTGTTGCAGTAGCCACATTTTAAGTTCAATAACTACATGTAGCTAGGAGTTACCATATTAGGCAGTGCAGATTACAGAACATTTCTATCACTGCACAAGTTTTATTGTATAATGCTGGTCTACTAGGTAAGGGGAAGTAGGGTCTCACATGGGGTTAGAGCAGTGCTTTTCAATGATTTTTCATTACAGCCCCTTTCAGGAGCCCTTTGAAACATTTTTTCCTAATCATCCCCCCCCATGAAATATTAGTTCCATAGATATTACATATACTCTATATCTGTGTTTTATACATTGCAAAGATTAAGATTTTTTTCATTCCCCTCCTCCATTCTCAAGAACCAGTTTTTACCTCTTTGGGGGCCATATTATCCCCTAATGAGAATGCATTGGTTACCATGTTACGAATAAGTTCAGGCAGGAATTTTAGGTTACCATAAAGAATTTGGATTTTATTAAAACTGTGTTGTGAAGCAACTAAAGGATTTTAAGGAGGGGTCTCACAAGGTCTGATTTCTGTCTTTAGAATATCACTTGGGCTGTTTTATGGAGCATAGGCTGGAGCGGGATAGGAGTAGAGGTGGGGAGCACAGTAAGGAAACTTGCAGCTCCCCTTGGACAGAGGCTAGAGGTTTATCCTAGGGTAGTAGCTGTGTATTGGGAGAGAGGTGGAGAAATTTGAGGTACATTTTGGAAATGAAATGACAGCTCTTTTTGTTATTAATGAGGGAGACAGGAGGAACCCAGAGTTACCCTTGGGATTTTGGCTTGAGTAATTGCATGGAGAGTGCTTCCAATTACTGAAATGGAGAAAACTGGAAGAGCAGCAGGGAGGGGGAGGGTGGTAGTTTATCAAAATTTTAGTTGTGAATATGTTAGAAATAAGATTCCTGTTAGACTTTAGGCAGGGACTGCTTGAACCTTCTGAGATGTATCCACTCCACCAGTGCTTGAATGTATCTACTCCACCAGTGCTCTTAATTCCACCTCTGCTTGAAGCTTGCAGAAGTAAGGAATCCATCCCTTTGTGCCTCTTCAGCCAAATGTGGACCATTATTGAGATACCTGTATTGGTGGACCTACCGGGGTAGAAACTTGGTATATTCATGGCTTGTTTAACCAGAGTAGCCTCTAATAGGAGGAAACAGGCTAAAGAATGAATGTCTGCAGAAATTGAACAAATGGCAGGATGGGCTTTGTGCCTTTATTCTTTAAATTCAAAGTATGAAGATGATAAAGATTTTTTTTTTTATCCTGGCTGGATTAGACCAGTCACTCACACCTGTGCAATAAAGGCCATAACGACCTTCATTTCATCCGGGCCTCATGATATCATTATTGTAAAATAATACATATGCCCAGAAGTTTATTAATATCATTATAACAGACTGAATTCTGGGAAGAAACATTCACAGTCTAAAGAAATGAAATAATAGCCTGTTGTCAATTACTGGTGCCAATCAAGTGGTCCCACGCCCAAAGGGGAACAGCCCATTCTAGAGAAAAAGGGATGAAAACTCCAAGTCTGGAGAAGCCTTCACTTGGTTTGACCCTGTTTTTCTCTTTGAGCCTTTTGAGCCTTGCCTTTGTGCATGGCCCGCTCCAAACTCTTTGGAATGTAATTCTAATAATGGGCCCTTGAGCCATTCTCTACTGCTTGGGCCTACTTCTATTTCTTTAAAATGTACTATCTCTTCTAATAAACTACTTTTTCACTACTTTATAAAAAAAGATTTTTTTTTATTAGTTTCAGGTGTACAAAACATTGTAATAGTTAGACATTTACACCCCTCACTAAGTGATAACCTCCCTCCCCCAATCTACTACCCCTCTGACATAGTACATAGCTGTTACAATTCCATTGACTCTATTCTCTATGCTGTACTGCACATCCCGTGATTTTTTATATATATATATATATATATATATATATATATATATTTAATTATAGTTGACAGTCAATATTATTCAGCTTTAGGTGTACAGCCAAGTGGTCAGGCATCTACATTGTCCATGAAGTGGTCTCCCTAATCAGATATGCGTCCATCTGACACCCTACAAAATCTTTACAACATTATTGATTATATTCCCCAAACTGTCTTTCGTATCCCCATGGCAATATTGTGGTTACAATTTGTGCTTTCTAATCCCCTCACCTTCTCCCCATCCCTACCCCCCTCCCAGAGATTTTTTTTTAATATTAGTGAAAAAAACCCAGTGGATGTACCAAGAATTAGGTCCTAGTTGCATGCTTTGTTTTTCCTTATAAGGCTTTTATAATACTTAAACTCCCTTGCTGGGGTTTCCCTTTTTATTTGCCCTACACAAAGAAGGGATGAGATTTTTTTTTCTAGTGGTCCTATGGTAGACTGTTATCTTAGTGGCCCCAGGTGAGTAGCTATGTCCTTATGCACTTCCATCTCATGTTGATGCTGGACTTGACCATGTTGTCTTGCTTTAGCCAATCGACCATCAGCGAATGTGGTGAAAACAGTGGTTTGATAGCACTTTCACATTGGGGATTTGGTCTTTTGGAAAATTTCCACCATCATGTGAAAAAGCCCACTCAAGCCTGAAAGATGAGAGGCCATGTGGAGGAGAACTGGGGTGCCCCCGTAGAAAGCCAGCACCATCTGGCAGATGTGTGAGTGTGAGTGAGGCTGTCTTGCAACTGCCTGATGACTACAAGGTCTGACAATTAAGTTCATGAACTCATCCTAGAAAAAGTGCTACATACCTCATTGCTGAATATCACTATGGTCACCTTCGAAGTAATCCCCTTGGGAAGCTATGCACCATCGCCAGCATCTAGTCCACCCTTCAAAGAATTTTGGAACTTTTTCTGGAATGGCCATCAGAGCTGTCGTTGTATTACCCTTGATGTCCTCAATGTCATCAAAATGTCTTCCTTTCAATATTTCTTTTATCTTCAGGTAAAGAATGAAGTCATTGGGAGCCAGATCAGGTGAGTAGGGAGGGTGTTCCAATACAGTTATTTGTTTACTGGATAAAAATTCCCTCACAGACAGTGCCATGTGAGTTGGCGCATTGTCATAATGTAAGAGCCATGAATTGTTGGCAAAAAGTTCAGGTCGTCTAACTTTTTCATGCAGCCTTTTCGACACTTCGAAATAGTAAACTTGGTTAACTCTTTGTCGAGTTGGTACAAATTCATAACGAATAATCCCTCTGGTATCAAAAAAGGTTAGCAACATCATTGCAGCAAGTTCACAAACTTAATTGTCAGACCTCGTCTGATCCCACGAGCAACCCCAGGTGAGACCTGCATAGGAGCTGCCCAGTGCAGCCCAGCTTGATTTGACAGTGAACAGAACAGGGCACAGACAAATCAGCACAGCAAAAATTTGAATTTAGTGACGCAAGTATTTGTTAGAGAAATGACTACAAATACATGTTTTTTTGCATATTTGTTATAAAGAATCTTTCATTTATGTTGCTTTTGTGTATAAATAAAGAGGAAAATATGGTCTTGAAATGTGTCTAAATGAAGCGAGAACAGAGGTGGATTGGATAACAAATATTTTTGGCTTTGTAGGACATACTGTCTTTGTCCCACCTACTTCTCTCTGCCACTGTAGTGCCAAAGCAGCCACAGACTGTACATAAATGAATGAGCCAGGCTGTATTCCAATCAAACTTTACTTATAAGATCAGGGTCAGGCCAGATTTGGCCCAAGGGCCATGGTTTGCCCACTCCTGTTCTCAAAGAACTTCTTTAAAAAGTTTAAACATTTTAAATAGTAAGAAGGCACTGTCATAGTTTAATTGGCAATGTTTGTATTTTTCAGTGATACAAAAAGTATGAGTCTTATAATCAGTGGTGTTTGGATTTAATGAAATACAGTGTATTTATATATAAATGTGTGAGGAACATGGTATCACATAATGTGACTGGGATGAATAGCCAGAATTTAGCAAGTGAGTGGCCTTGCTTCAAAGCTTTGGGCAGCATTGTAGTTGCCCCATTTGGTGGAACAATATATATGATATGCAAAACTTAATGAAACTTGATTAAGCAGGGCTAGATGAAGCATGAATTCATATGTTTTAAAGGCTCCTACTCTGTTTCTGGAATAGCCCAAACTGCCTCTGATATCATTCTGCTCATCACTGTTAGTCCTGTGAAATAGTAAACATCCAGCTTAAGTATGAAGGTCATCTTTACGTTCTCCATTACCTAGTGCGATGAGGTAACTTGAGAGATTGCAAATGCTAGATTGTGGGACAAAGGAAGCAGGAATGCCTGGTATCACTGATTGTTGGAGAACAATGATTATTTCAGCACTTTCTGGATTAGCAGTGATGGGGACACAGTCAATTGGGAGCAGAGAAGCTCCTTCTCATGGCAGTGACCAGACAGTGGCAAACTGAGTGTGCAAAGCAATGGTTACAGCCAGTTGGAACAAATTACAGCTGCAAAAAGGGCCAGGTACTCTAAGACTCTAAAAAAGAGGTTAACAAAAACACAAATGCTTACACAATGTTAACTTTGTTTATAAATATAATGGGTTGGTATAGATAAGGAGAGGCCTCTACTGAAGTTCAGGGTAACTATGATATTATCAATCACTGATTGTTGTGGTCCCACCAAGTCCTTCTTAGACTCTTTCATTCCTTCTGTTGACAGTTAATATTAGGTTGGTTCAAACTAATTGCAGTTTTTGCATTGTTGAAATTTGCCTTTGATATTGGAATACATTCTTAAATAGATGTGGTTATGTTATACATCATTTGAATGCACAATTCTCACTTTATGTTTCTTTTGCTAATGACTTATTACTTGCTTTTATTTCGTATGTATTTTAGACTATGTAAATTATGTTAGACAAAAAGCAAATTCAATCAATTTTCTTATTCCAGCTCAAAATGGGTCATAAAGCAGCAGAAACAACTTACAACATCAACAACGCATTTGGCCCATGAACTGCTAATGAATGTACAGTGCAGTGGTGGTTCAAGAATTTTTGCAAAGGAGACGAGAGCCTTGAAGATGAGGAGCATAGTGACTGACTATCGGAAGTTGACAACAACCAATTGAGAGCAATCATTGAAGCTGATCCTCTTACAACTACACAAGAAGTTGCTGAAGAACTCAACGTTGACCATTCTACAGTCATTTGGCATTTGAAGCAAATTGGAAAAGTGAAAAAGCTCAATAAGTGGGTGCCTCATGAGCTGACCTCAAAAAAAATCATCGTCTTGAAGTAACTTCTCTTATTCTATGCAGCAAAACGAACCATTTCTCGATCGGATTGTGACATGTGATGAAAAGTGGATTTTATATGATAACCGGTGGGGTGACCAGCTCAGTGGTTAGACCTAGAAGAAGCTCTAAAGCACTTCCCAAAGACAAACTTGCACCAAAAAAAGGCAGTGGTCACTGTTGGGTGGTCTGCTGCCAGTCTGATACACTACAGCTTTCTGAATCCCAGAGAAACCATTACATCTGAGAAATATGCTCAGCAAACTGATGAGATGCACTGAAAACTGCAACACCTGCAGCCGGCATTGGTCAACGGAAAGGGCCCAATTCTTCTCCACGACAACGCCTGACCACATGTCGCCCAACCAACACTTTAAAAGTTGAACAATTTGGAATTCGATGAATTCTTGGAAAAGATTTTCTGCATCCTGCTGGTTATGGAAGTGTTTTCCCTGCAAATAGTTGTCGAGATACTTGAAGAAGTGGTAGTCGGTTGGTGAGAGGTCAGGTTAATATGGCAGATGAGGCAAAACTTCATAGCCCAAAGCATGGATTTTTATGCTACAGGAATAAACAAACTTATTTCTCATTAGCAACAATGTGTTGATTGTAATGGTTCCTATTTTGATTAATAAAGATGTGTTTGAGCCTAGTTACAATGATTTAAAATTCATGGTCCGAAACCGCAATTACTTTTGCACCAGCATAATACTAAGTGACCTAAATGATTGTGATTAAACCCCATTAGGCCTATTTTGTGGAGCAGTGTGAGTCATAGGTAACCACCAGTGGACTTGGTAGTTCTGTTTGTGATTATCTCATCTATGGAGATGAGCACCCGAGAGCTGCAGAGATAAGAAAGGTCTTGTGCTCATCACTGCCTGATGACGGCTGCTGGAAAAAATGTCTTAATTCCTGATGCTGCCACTTTTTGCTGTATTAAGAAAGAGAAAACCATTGGGCCAGTGGAATGGAATCCTCAGCATCTGATGAGGCGATTAGGATTGATGATTCAATAGTCAATAAACCTTTTCTTCTGATTGAGTAATCTATACGGACATGGGACTGAAGGATTAGGCTCTCCCTTGTGATGAAAGCGGAAGGAAATGCTGACACCTGACCCCCCACAACCCCGTGAGCCTGTGGTAGTGTACGCTGATTGTCCTACACTGATGCTTTGAAACCTAATGTATGCTTCCGTTCCTTCCAAATGAATTGCAATTGGGGTTTTGGCAGCAGAGTCCATGGGCCAGCAGGAGTCCTATAGTTACTGAGATGTGATCTGTCTTGGAAACAAGGAGGGGGACCAAAAGGGAGTGGGGACCTATGGCTGGTATCACTTTATCCACTGTACCTTCAATAAACAGAGTCTGGGTGTTGTGTAGTGGGCATTTGGTTTTGTCTGCCCAGCCTACCTTTTCTAGAAAATGCTTTTCTGACTCTTGAGATTCTGAGGAGGCCTTCCCTATCCTTACTGACCCACCCTCTCTGGTCACAGCTGATGACTGGTCGAGAGGTGGGCTCCAACCCAGCCTAAGACATAGCATCTACCTCAGCTTGTTGGTAGGAATGATCTCATGACTGAAGTGGAATCCATCAGTTCTTTCCTGGAATTACTAAAGAAACTCAATCCTTCTCTGGTGGTGAAGCTAGAGAGATGGGACCCAGCAGCAGCTGCAGCAATGTTTCCTACTGCGGGATAAAGTAATTTACAGAGAGAAGCAGAGACAAGTGCTAGGGGGAGAGAGTCAGGTGGTGTTTTATTCTATAGTGTTTCATTTTCTGCACCATTGGTCTTTTCAGGAAACACAAAGCTTCCAATGCAATTACCTTTTGGGTTCAAGTTCCCCCCTTGGAACCCAAAGTGTCCTAATTTAATCAAGTTCTTCATTTGGCCATCCTATGTGGACAAGTTAGAAAAACTTGGGTGATGGTCTCCATTTTCTTTTTTTATTAAGATTTTTATTAAAATATAGCTAACATACAATATTATATTAGTTTCAGGTATACACCATAGTTATTCAACATTTACATGCCTAAAGAAGTGATCACCATGGTGAGTCCAACAACCATTTGATGTCGTACCACTCTATCACTATATTATTAACTATATTCTCTATGCTTTACATTACATTCCCATGACTTATTTGTTTTATACCTGGAATTTGAACCCTTTGCCTTTCTCCCCGCCTTTTCAAAATTTTCAATTAACTGTTGACATTCAATATTCTTTTATTTTTTATTTTTTATTTTATTTTTTTTTTTAAAGATTTTTTTATTGGGGAATTGGGGGGATGGGAACAGTGCTGGGGAGTTGGGGGAAGGGGAACAGACAAGTTGTTGTCGTTTTGTTCTTCAATCTAGTTGTGGAGGATGTTGCTTCACTGGCCCAAGTTGGCACCATCATTGCGCTCTTCTCTGGCGAGGCAGATCAGTCGCCGGCTTCTGGACGGCCGCTCACTGCGGCTGCTGGCCGCTCACGCTGGCTGCTGGCCACACACGGTAGCCCATGGCAATCCACTGCCACAGGGACTGCAGCCCACGCCGTCGCCGGCGACTCATGGCAGCCCAGCTCCAGGTTGAGCTGTTGTTCAGCATCTCAGCTGCGGAGGGCAGTGTCACTGGCCCTCATATGTGGGATCCGAACCAGGGCCCTCTGGCATCCCAAGCGAGTTCTTAACCATCGCGCCACTCGGCCGGCCCTCAATATTCTTTTATATTAATGCCAGGTGTACAGTGTAGTGGTTAGACACTTATATATGTGGACAAGTTAGAAAAACTTGGCCGATGTTCTCCATTTTCATTCCTCTAGTTAACCTCCTCCTAGGCTTCATGTTCTTCTATCTACATCTTTCTCAGGGCTTGCTCATCCATTCCCATTCCATTCTACTCTATGCATTCTGTGCAAGTAGCCCACATTTATTTTTGCAGCACAGGCCTTTCTTTTGAGCTCCACATTAAGTGTATCCTACTGCTTACTTGACTACTCATCTTGGCTATCAAATAGGCGTTTCAAAATTACCACATTTGCAATGGATCAGTCTCAGCTTTTTTTATCTATGTCAATAAACGTCCTATTCTATCAACCAATGGTAAGTACTTGGGGATACCCCTGCCTTTAATATGGAGGGATTTATCGTGGAGCGAGGCAATGGACAACTTTATGAATTTATTGCTATTACTGGAGGGTAAGTTTTACTTTTGACTCTGGGGAAAGGTGGAGATGGGGGCCATAGGGTGGGAAAGCACCTGCCCACTCTAATAAAGATGCGGCCCAGGTGGGTGGTGGAGGCTTATTTCCTTGCTTTGGCTGCCCTCACAGGTGCCCAGAACAGAACAGTTTTATAGCAGGGTTTTTAAAAAATTGTGCTAAAATACACATAATATAAAACTTACTATCTTAACCACTTTAAGAGTACAGTTCAGTGACATTAAGTGCATTCATATTGTTGAGCAACCATTGCCACCAAGCATCCACAGAACGCTTTTCATCTTTCAAAACTGACACTTTGTGTCCACTAAGCAGTAACTCCCCATTTCCCTCTCCTCCCAGCCTCTGACAACTACCACTCTATAACACTTTCTGACTCTATGGATTTCCCTATTCTGGGTATTTCATATCAACGGAATTATACAAATCAATATATGTTACCTTTTGTGTATCTCAAATGTCTCCACCTCTCTCCAAATACACAGCTACTACCCTTGGATTAACCTCCAGCCTCTTTCCCAGGGCAGCTGCAATTTTCTTTACTGCACTCCCCACATCTGCTCCTGTCTCCCTCCAAGCTATGCTGACAAAATGGCTGTCTTATTGCTTGCTGGTCAGAGGACTGGGCAACACTGAGTTACTGGAAGCCTCAGTGACTACATAGGTCTGGGTGGAACCTGAAGATTTTCAATTCTAAAAACTTCCTAGGTACTGATGGTTGCTAGCTGGGAGGGGTGGGGATGAGGGAGAAGGGGAAGGGATTAGACAGCATAAATAGGTAACTACAATATTGCCACAGGGACATGAAAGACAGCTTGGGGAGTATAATCAATAATGTTGTATTTTTTAGGGTGTCAGATGGTCACATGTCTTGTTAGGGAGACCGCATCATAGATGAGGTAGAGGCTTGATCACTGCACTGTACACCTGAAGCTGATGTTGAATAATATTGTATGTCAACTATAATTGAATATATACATATAGTCATGGGACGTGGAGTATAGTGTGGGAGTGGAGTCAAGGGAATTGTAATAGATATGTATGATATTGGGGGGAGTGGGGCGGTGGATTGGGGAAGGGAGGTTTTCACTTCAAGGGGTAAAATGCGTAACTATTGCAGTGTGTTGTACAACTGAAACTAATTTTTTTTTTTTTGGAGGGCAGTGTACTGGCCCTCATATGTGGGATCTGAACCGGGGCCCTCTGGCATCCCCAGCCAGTTCTTAACCATCGTGCCACTTGGCTGGCCCGAAACTAATTTTTTTAAATGTGTATTTCACAATAAAAAAATAAATAAAAGAAAGAAAAGCTTCCTAGGTAATGCTGCTGCTGCTGCTGCTGGTCCTGACACCTCTCTCCAGGTACCACCTCCAGGTACTTGCAGTCAGGAGCCTTTTAGCAAACATCTGCCTGTAACAGTGAAGGATGGACCCTGGGGCATGACTTTAGAAAAGAAAATTTCATAAAGTTCAGGAAAAAAATAGAAACATATAATTTTATGACCAGAAGCTCTCAAAAGAAAGATGGTTCAAAAGGGATGGGATGCTCTAAAGAACAAGAATTAAGCAATAGTCACAAATGACTCCAGTGAAGAAAGTGGGAAGTAGCTCATGAGACTTATGCAGAAGAGTTATTTGATGATCTTGATTCTAAAATGATAGATATAGAAGGGGATATAAATAAAAATGAATAGTGTAGACCCGTGTGAGTACTAAGAAAGAACTTATGGTCCTTAATGAGCTAAAGCTTGCAGAAATTTGAAGGAAAACAGAAAGGCCTTCTTCAGTTATGTTCAGTACAAGAAAAGGGGGGGGGGAAGAATTGAGTAAGTTTAAAAAGCTAATGACACCAGAATAGCCAAAACAACCTTTGAAAAGGAGAACAAAATTGGGCGACTCATGCTTCCTGATTTCAAAATTGACTACAAAGTGACAGTAATCAAGACCGTTTTGATCTAGGAAGGAAACTGAATGGCTGGAGGTGGCACGGGAAGTGTCACAGATGAAACACTACTAACCTTTATTTTGGAACCTTTGAGTTTTGTACTGTGTACATGTGTTATCTATTAACAAAATAATTAAAATTATTTTTAATAATTTTGCCTGAAAAAAAAGTATTGTTTGGGACTAGCACAAGGATAGACATATAAATCAATAGAAAAGAATTACCAGTCCAGAAATAAACCCTTATAATTATGGTCAATTGATTTTTCAATAAGGTTGCCATGGCAATTTGAAGGGGAAAGAATAATCTTTTCAGCAAATGATACTAGAGTAATTGACTACATGGGAAAGAATGAATTCAGACCCCTACCTCACGTTATTGAAAAAAATTAAGTCACTGTCTAATGAAATTTCATATCTTCAAAATCA